ACACTGTTTACGCATTAAAATATACCTAGATAAAGTTAAAATTATTTACACTTTAATTCATAATGTATAGAATAGATAGATAAATAATTAAGTGAGTGAAGTATAAGAATTTAGTAAAATAAGCTTAGAAGGTATCAAATATATATAAAATGTAAACCTCAAAGCGGCCAAGCAGCATATATTACAGTTTTACAATTATTATTAAGAGTGATAGGTCTTTGCTCTTAATACTGTTTTTAAAACTCATCAACTTAAGATTCTCTCCATCACTTTGCTCTAATTTATTCCAAAGATGGGGTCCAAAGTATCGTAGAAAATGTCTACTGTGCGAAAGCATCGAATATTGAAATCAGCGTTCCTCAGATTATATCGTTTCGGGGCAGTATTAAATATTTCTGTTGTATAAGTGGGCATAAGTCCGTTTTTCACTTTATACATGAAAATGGCGGTGTTTTGTCGGAACAGACTTCGTAGACCTGCTCTTGTTGGGGGCTCGCTATAGGTCTCCGATTTAGATTTAAAGATTGCTCTGAGTGCCCGCTCTTGAAATCTTTCCATTTTCTTCTTTTCGGATGATTTGCAAAAGTGCTATACAATATCATAATATGTAAGGTGAGGCAAAATATTAGACTTGTACAGCTGTACCTTTGCAGACCATGGGATTAAATTGCGTAGTCTCAGTAGGACCCCAACATTACAGCTCGTTTTCTCGCAAATATTACTGAAATTTTAACTGAGTGTCAGTTTGTTGTCGATGGTTACGCCAAGAATTTTGAGATGATAAGATGATTTAACTTCGTGTCCATCGAATTTCATCGTCAATTCATACACAGGAGTTTTCTTGGATGATTGTTAATCTATCGTATGGATCTAGTATTTCTTAGGGTTGGCTTACAGTAGGTTTTCCTTGTACCATTGTGACACTGCCTCTATTTGTCTCCTAAGAGTTTGGGTGGCCTTCAATATTTCATTATCACTAATGTATATTTGATGGTCATCAGCATACATTAGCAGATGGTCATCAGCATAAATTAGCAGACTGTCTATGTAGTGAGAGATCATTTTGGAACAAGTTCCAGAGTAAAGGCCCGCAGGAGGAGCCTTGTGGACACCCCCTTTTTTGTTCCTTCCATGCACTTTGCACCTCATGTAGTTTGACTCTGTTTCTTCCACGCTCAAGAAAGAATCGTGTAAGATTCTGTGATGCTCCGGAAAAGCTGTATGATTTGAGTTTCTGAATCGTTAGTGAGGGTGCAGCGAGTCAAAAGCTTTGCTCATATCAGTGAATAGAAAATTCACGTACTCATCGTTATCGGCAGCCATCTTCCAGTCATCTGTCAGCCTTATTAATGTTGTTTCACAGCTGTGATTTTCTGTAGGCGGACAATTTTTGGTACAGATTTGGATCCATGGTTTTTATGATTTTCTTGGAAAGTAATGATTCGAACACTTTATCAATAGAGTTCGGTACTGTTATAGGTCGGTAATTTCCCCATTCGTTTTTATCTCCTTTCTTGAAAACAGGGGTCCATTCCTCCATTTCCCACGTGTTTGGCCAATTTCCCTTTCTAATAACGATGTTCTAGAAACTTGCTAAGGACGGTGCTAGACCTTTGGCAGTTAACTGTACAATTTTTGGAGAGACTCCATCCCACCCTGTGGCTATTTGATTTAAGCATTTTCAGTTCGTTTTCCACTTCACCAGAGCCAATTTCGTTAAATCCAAATTAAAGGCGTTGCTAAGTTTGCCGAATGCTCGACACTCGGGTGTTTTTCAAAGATTTTCTCAACTAAGTTCGTTACCTATGCACCATCAATGGCATTTGCAACAGTTAAACATCAGTCTCTAAGCTCGTCTGCCACTACTCTCTGGTTTGTTACAATTCGCTCGTTAATCCTAATGGCAGTTTTTGTCTCCTCTTTGCTCTTATCACTTAAGAGTGGTTTAAAGGATTTGTAGAAATCCCTTGGTATTTTCCTCAGTTCATTCAAAGTCAATGGTATTTGTAGCAGTTAAAAACTAGTCTTCAAGCTCGTCTGCCACTACTTTCTGGTTTGTTACAATTTGCTCGTTAATCCTTGTGGCAATTTTGCCTCCTCTTTGCTCTTATCACTTAAGAATGGTTTAAAGGATTCGTAGAAATCCCTTGGTCTCTTCAGTTCGTCCGATATTTGGGCCCAGTGCGCTTTAATAGCTCGTCTCTTCTCTTTAGAGGCCAAATTTCGCCATTTCCTTTTTTAACTACCAGTTTCTAGAGTTCGGTTTTGGGCAAGCAACGGTGCATATTTCCTTTTGTTGCCAATTGCCATTTTCCTTTCTTTCGTCATTTATGGTACATTTTTCTGTCTAACTCATCTTCTTTTTCGGCATATGTTTGTCCAGTAAACTTTCATAAAATGATTTTTATGCGTTACCTTGGCCCTCGATGGTATCGAGTGTTTCTCCAACAGTCTAGCGAGTATTTCCCAAGTCCTCATTAAACGGATCCGTGTCGTCTTTCGTCTATGCTGTTATGCAGATTGCTTTAAAATTCCATAAATGAGGTGGTAATCACTTATCTCTGTGTTAAAAGAATCTCACATCCTGAAAATGTTGGGTTTGTTGGTTAAAATGACGTTCGTTTCTCAGTCTGATGTCGACGTAATCCTCGTCGGCTTGGTAATTAAACATTGCATTCCATGCACTTCTTCTAAGTCAGTAAGTGTTTTCCCTTCTCTGCTGTCCAGGTTCAGATCACCTGTAAAAATAAATATATGTTTCTTGAAGGAAGCCCGCATGCAAACGTGATTCAGTTCCTCCTCTATACGTTTTAAATAATGTGCGTCTAGTTCGTGATCCGACTACTTTGGGGGTCGGTATGTCCCAAGGAAAATGACTTCTTTGTCGCCGAGTCTAGCCTCTACTGCAAGAATCTCGAGTGTTTTGTATTTCTTCGTTACTTTTAGCGCTTTCGAGGGTGCACTAGAATCAAAATAGGCTATTATCCCACGGCCTCCTTTCTCTCTATCTTTTCGATAATGTAATCCGTTAAGGTTAATTGGCTGCTCGGGTAGGACTTGTCGATCTTTGTATTTGCGAGAAAAATAATTTGCGACTTGATCTTATCATTCAGGAGTTTCAGTTCATCAAATTTATTTTGGAGGCTGTTGATGTTCAGATGAAACATTAGTATCCGATTGGAATGTTCCTGCCT